ACCTGAAGAAAACAATCTGAAATTGTCGAAATTACTTGTAACAATATTTCAAGTTAAATGATTATGCTGACAGTGTTAATACTTTCTGAAACTATTTGGCATCATATGAAGCAATTTCAAACATTTGATTTTATAAATATCATAATATCAGGGGCAACTAATGACATTTGGTATTTTCCAGTATAACAAATTTTACAAATATTTTGCTATGATGAAAGTCTTCAGCACTTCTAAATTTTGTCTTCAGCACTTCTAAATCTTATTGTATTAGTACTTAAAGACTAACTTGAAATAGAAGCCATTAAACTTACTTTTTGTTTTCACAAAATTGCTTTAAGCAGTTTTACCAGGACAGGAAATGTACCCGTTGGCATGATTTAAGATAAAGCAACTTTATTCGGAGACAACAAAGAAGAGGATTGCAGATGAGTTGGGCTACTTTTTAGCTGCAACAATTGTACAAAATATATCTTCATAAAAACATCATTCATTGAAAAAATCTCCAACATAAATATAAATTTGCATCTCATCATCATCAGATACTACTAACATTTTTTAGGAGCTTAAAATTCAAATGTTTAAATTTTTAAATAAAATTTTATTTTAATTTTGAATAATACTTTCAATTTAAATTTGGATTTAATATGAATTAAGAATTTCCACGTTTTCTTCTGATGGATTTTGAAACATTTATAGTTGAAATGCTTAATTTTGTTTCTGATTAAGAGTCAGTTAGCAACATCTGAAGATAATAAACTTATTGAAAAACATTTGTGTATGTTGGTGATATTAGCTCAATTACACAGGTCAACAAAAAAAAATTTTTTTTGGTGCCTAGGATTTTAGAACTGATTTTAGCTATATTTGGGTCACTGAATCCAAATATGAAATCAGTTTTCCTTTATCGGCTCTACTTTTTTAGTATCAGGTCTGTAAAACTTGTACAGAACATTTACAACAGTGGGAAAAGAACATTTACTACTGGGAAAAGAAAAAGTCTGAAATTTGGCGTAGCCTACCGATGGTTTGGAGAGAACCCAAAAATCACTTTGATGACTGTTATTTCTGTCTAGTAAATATTAATGGAATCAATCGTAACAACTGTAGCAAGTGGACTTATCCTGATTTAGTCTCTGCAAGACGCCCGGTCCCTCACTCACAGGAAGTGCCAGTTCCATCATTTCACCAGCTACCAGAGCTCTGTGAGGACGAGTATCCCTCTGATCCTAATGAAGGTGACTGTGATTACGAGAGAATGTCATCAATTCCTCAATGTTTCAACCAGGATGAGTTAAATGACCTCACCAGAGATCTCAACCTGCCAAAAGAAGCTTCTGAATTATTGGCTTCTGGGTTGAAGGAGAAAAATTTACTGGAGCAAGGAACCAAAATTACCTTTTACCGTACAAGAGAAAAGGATCTGCTACCCTTCTTCTCTCAAGAAGACAATTTTGTGTTTTGTCACGAAATTAGAGGACTCTTGGAAAAAATGGGCCTTCTTGAATATTTTTCAGATGATTGGCGCCTATTTATTGACAGCTCAAAACGAAGTTTGAAATGTGTCCTTCTACACAATGGGAACAAATATGGTTCAATACCAATTGCTCACTCAACGAAAATGAAAGAAGAATATAACACCATAGCTCTGGTCTTGGAGAAGATAAAGTATCGTGAACATCAATGGGTAATTTGTGTAGACTTAAAAATGGTAAACTTTCTCCTTGGACAGCAAATTGGCTACACCAAATATCCTTGCTTCTTGTGCCTCTGGGATAGCAGAGACAAAACACACCACTGGGTTAGAAAAGAGTGGCCTAAGAGAGAAAACATGGACGTTGGAGAAAAAAATGTCATTAACGACCCCTTAGTTGAACGAGAGAAAATCATCTTTCCTCCACTGCACATCAAGCTAGGCCTAATGAAGCAGTTTGTAAAGGCTCTTGATAAGAAGGGATCATGCTTTGCATATATAGGGGAAAAAATGCCTCAGTTAAGTATAGAAAAAATTAAAGCAGGAATATTTGACGGCCCACAAATAAGACAACTCATTAACGATCTTGCCTTCGTAAATTCGATGAATGAAGCTGAGCGAAAAGCCTGGACTTCATTTGTTGCAGTTGTCAGAAATTTTCTAGGCAAACGCAAAGCTGAAAATTATGTTGAACTGGTAAACGAGATGCTTAACAGTTTCAAATTCCTTGGGTGTAATATGAGTATTAAGGTGCACTATTTACACAGTCACTTAGACCGTTTTCCTGAAAATTTAGGAGACACCAGTGAAGAACAAGGTGAAAGATTTCACCAGGATATTAAAACTATGGAGGACCGCTACCAAGGAAGATGGGATACGCATATGATGGCAGATTACTGCTGGAGTTTAAAAAGGGATTGCTCCAAAATACATTCACGAAAGTCACGGAAAAGAAGCTTCCTCAATGTGTAACTGTTTAGTTTTATTGATGACTTTTTCCTCTATCTTTGTATAGAATAATATTTGCATAATATAATAATAAAAATTCCGTGTTTAGTTTTTTTACTTGATCCATGGATTTAACTTAAGATATTGAAACGTATATTTCGCTAAAATGCTATATCTTAAAAATTAGAGCTCCTAGGCAAAAACTAATGCTGTATTTGAATTCAGGACATCAAATTCATATGAAATCAGCTCAAAATACGTGGGTTCCAAAACCACTGTTGACCTGTGTTGTTTGTGTTAGAGATGACTTTAATGTTTTATAAAGATGGTTTTATTGGCAAGGGATCAGTGATTATGATTATAAATATGATTACATAAATGAAATTTTGTAAACATTATGTCATTCATTAAAATGTAATATAAATTTAATATGGTTTTATATATGTACTGTATAGTACATAAATACATACAGGATGGTAATAATTAAATGCTTCCTATTCAGCTTTTAGTAATTCTCTTGAATAACTGGAATGTTGCCAAATTTGGTAGGTTTACTAATTAAGTCATGTGGAAAAGGATTCTATGGAAAAAATTTTCCTTGTAACTGGGATGGGAAAGTAATCACAGAAAATGCCTTTCAGGTCTTGTAAATGTTGAGTAAAGCTTTGAAAATTCTTATTAGACAACTTTTCATTTGAGTTGAGGAAGATTTGGTGGTTCATGAAGGCTTATAAATGAATAAGTTAGCATTAGCTGTTTAATTCTAGCTTTTATTCAATTTAGCCATAACACATGTTTTTAAGTTAACATTTTTATCTTTCTAGATTTTTTTTTGTTAGTGTGACAATTCTAATTGGACCATTTTATATTTAATATTTCTGATAACATAAATATTATTTAGTTGATATTTATTTTGCTAATACTTTCAATGATTGGTAAAATAATACTTTAATGTACAGTAATACCCTGAACTTACACGATAGGTGGGACCGAGCGATAACCGCGTAAGTCGGGGTATAATTTCGCAATTTGTGTAAAATCCAAGTTGGATGTATGTAAGCTAATAAATGTTCTCATTAATCTTATCTCGTCTTTTGATTCGTTCACAGTTACAAGAAGTCATCACATAGAGTCTCTCAAGTCTCCGTAGATATAACAAACACAGAAATAAATAACACAAAATAAATTGTGGCTAAGCGTCAATTCTGCGCGACACGTTCAAACATGTAAGCCGAACAATAGTGTGGGGGGATGAGTAATCGAGAGTTGCGTGGCGCTCAAACAAAAGACGAATAGACGAGATTTGAAAATCGTGTAACTCCAGGTTCGCATAAGTCGAGGTATTACTGTATATTACTATATAAAAGTTCTATTGCCATTTTAGTGGCCTTGGGGAGGAAAGAGAAAAATAGAATAAATATATATTTTTTTTCTTTTAAATAATGAAAATTTCTGTTTTACAAAAACAATCCATTATCTGTTATTTATTATATATGTAATTGAATATTCTCTTTAAGAAATTCCATCTATTCATGCTTAGATTACTAAATGTTTTAGAGTTTTGAATATTGCAAGGAAGTCAAATATACTTTGTTTTTAGGTGAAAAAGTATCTGAAACCAACAATTCATTATATACTGTAAATAAGTTACTGAACGAAATAATTCTTCTGTGTTATTGAAAGTATTATTTGTAGCATTTTAATTAAAATGTTTTGAATTTTGCATTCTTTTATAAAAACAAAAATTATTTGTTATAGTTTACACTTTTAAAATAGATTGGAAAAGCTTTTCTCAAAGGTTTTGTATTTCAGATTGTTTATTTTCCATTCTAAAATAATGGATGACTATGGTTGTTAAATTACAATTTGGAAGTGTGAATGATCTTTCAAATGTAATTTACTTTCAATTGAGCAATATAACAATATAATATAATATGTACCATATGTATTTACAAGTTTTGATTGATATTGTGAATTAAGAACTTAATAAGTTATGATGAGAATAACTGTAGTTTATATATATATATATAAATGTTTTGTGCTAATATATTATTTTGTATAAAAATTTTATTTTTTAACTGTTATTTAAATAAATATTTTAAACTTTAACAATATATTTTATATTTTATAAAACAATTCAATAATATAGAAGTAAATTGTTGATTAAAATTGGCTGACAATACTGTATTTACATGTTAAAAATATATAAATATATTGAAGATGCAGAATTTGTTTTCACAAGTTTATCATTCATAATTATCAGTGATATTCAAAATTTTTTTTTTTACTTAGAGATGACCTTTTATTTGAGGCTATGTGTCTATAAAAAAAGTGCAAAATAGTTTACAGTGGTAGTCTCAAATAAAAGGTCATCTCTGTAAGTGAAAATTATTTTTTTGGATTATCACTGGTGATTGTGAATGATGGACTTAAAGACAAATTTTGTATCTTCAATGTATTTTTAATAAAAGTAAATTAAGTAAGCTAAATATTATAGGTTTTTTTTGTTGATGTATTTTTTTAAATTTACAAATTATTAAAAATTACATTGATAAAAGTCATTATTATTTTTTTTTTTCAGATTAAAGTGGAATTCTGTTTTGGGTGCCATTGACATACATTTTGTAATGGCAGAAGGCAACAACAGTAAAACAAATTTAGCATTTAGTAGATTACATCATTTTTTATATCTAGGTACAGAAGGCAACTGTTATAATTCAAAAAAACCTGTGTTTTCCTTAGATAGTGTCCATAGTATTGAATCCCTGATTGCAGATGGTAAAGGTAAAGATGTTGTTCAAGAAATTATCAGATTTGCTTCTGAAGGATTGTCTCTTTGTCCAGATGCTATTTTATATGCTTTAGCTGTTTGTGCTCATTCTCAAAATAATGAAATTAAATCTGCTGCATTTAAAGCTGTTGATAAAGTTTGTTCTACATCTGTAGAATTATTTGCTTTTAACCGTTTTTTAAATGAAGTAAGCAAACCAACAAAAGCTTGGGGACGAGCTCGTCGCAGAGCTATTAGTTCCTGGTATAGTTCTAAGTCTGCAAAAGTACAGGCATGTGAAGTTACTAAAATTATTCAACGCCATCGATGGACTCATTTAGATTTATTCAGACTGTCTCATCATAGACCTGTTGATAAAGGTAATATTTTGAAGTATATTTTTGAATTTTTTTTATATTTAGTATATTTTATTTTTGAATTTTTAATTCTATTAAGTTTTGAAGTATATTTTATCAAAAATTAATCAAACAAACATTATGGACATCAAAGTTATTATTTTATGAAATAAAGCAAGTCCTCACTTAGCATCATTGAAGAAAGATACATTTGTAATCATTTCTGATTATTATTATTATTAAATTTTCTTTACAAATAGGAAAATTGGTTCTGGAAAATAAATAATGAACAATGCAACACAATCCAATCAGAATATCAACTCAATTATATCATTTAGCATATGATAAAATTTGTTTCATTAGATAAAATTTCACTTAATGTCACAGCTTCCAAGATCTTATCAATGCTGTTAAGTGAAGACTTACTATACATATTAAAATTTTCAGTTTCTATAAATAGAAACAATATGTTATGAAAAGAAACTGAATTATGTTATGATAATTCGGGGCGACAAGTTATCACTGTCCGCCCTTTTCCAACGTCGGGACATTGAGTCCTGCTCACAGCGTCACTGGATGGCTTTTACGTGTTGGAATTAAATAGGAGAGCTTCTCTAACGTCAAGTGGGGAGTGCTGTGGGTAAGTTGCGATAGGGCGGTTCGGCATCTAATAAGTCCACACGAGATCAGGTTAAACAACAAAAATAACAATTTAATGAACTAAATTAAAGTGTACAAGATTACATACAGGCATAAACAACCTAACATCTGGTACTATGTTTATGGATTAAACTATATCAGTTATACACTAATTGTACTTAAGTGCTAAACGACCGAGAGAGAGTTTACATAGATTTACTGAATACCTCCTAAATGGTTTGCTGTCGGCAGGTCCGGCTTATACGAAGGTCAGGGAAATGATCATGGATCTTTACAGTGGGAGTCGAAATTGGTGATGTACATATTGGCGGGTAGAACATTTATTCATTCCTCGAAAGGCGTCCGCCCCGTACTTCAAGTATGTGCCCTTTTTATCGTCCTGGAGTGTGGGAATACTATCAAGTGATTTTGATTTAATGTGGTCTAAGGTCGAGATGTGTCACTGGTTCGGCTGATATGGGCCATAACAATTTAATGCCTCAGCTGTGTTGTTGATACTTTCTTGCCAGGTGTCACAATTCCTTTTGCCATATAAGGCAAACAATTTCGGATTTCTTAGACATCATCAACGAAGTGTTGTGACTTATATTATAAACTTACTAAAAACATTGTTAAGGATTGTTGATGATGTAAGGATATTTGATCGTCTTTTTTTCTATCAGATCAGAGGGCATCGGAAAGACCAGGTGGTGGGAAAAGAAAGTGGGTTTTTTCCACTTCACAATTAACTACATATTAATTTTAACTACTTAATCACCCCCAGAATCTCACAATATACTGTACAGTACATAGTTCTAAAAATGAATATACATACAGGGAATATATAGTAATTGTTAATAAGCAGTTACACCAACCACTGCCATAAATGATCGGGCTATATTTTGGATATATGATAATAGATTAGAAATAAATTTGGCACTAGAGTGAGGTGTTAGTTGTCATCTCATAAACGGCAATGGTTGGTATATTTGCTTAAGATAGCGGGTTTTGATTGATGTGTGTTGTTAATAACACTGGTCTATCTCCAGGAAGTGATAGATCAAAATATAAGTGTAATTAGGAAAACAAGCTACTATCCAAAACACTGTTTTCAAGATAAAGAAGGTTAAAGTGCTACTGAAATGTTTTTTTTTAATATCTAAGAAACAATATGAGATATTTAGTTTAAATTTTTTAATCAACCCCCAATTGACCCCCTAGCCGCATTGACCCCCCAATAATGTTACATCAACCACTTTGGCGACCCCTGGCCTAAATGCNATAAGAAGTTAGCACAATAATTTTTGTTCAAGTTAATTCTAAATTATACATTTTTTGTACCTTTTTATTTCTGTTTTATTTATTTATTTATTAATTAATTATTATTATTGTTATAATTTTTACAATGTATTGATGCATCTTATGGAATATGTTTTAAATTTGCAGTTTGGAACACATTAACGTATATTTTAAATTGTAAGGTTCCATTATTCTATACCTGAAGAAAACAATCTGAAATTGTCGAAATTACTTGTAACAATATTTCAAGTTAAATGATTATGCTGACAGTGTTAATACTTTCTGAAACTATTTGGCATCATATGAAGCAATTTCAAACATTTGATTTTATAAATATCATAATATCAGGGGCAACTAATGACATTTGGTATTTTCCAGTATAACAAATTTTACAAATATTTTGCTATGATGAAAGTCTTCAGCACTTCTAAATTTTGTCTTCAGCACTTCTAAATCTTATTGTATTAGTACTTAAAGACTAACTTGAAATAGAAGCCATTAAACTTACTTTTTGTTTTCACAAAATTGCTTTAAGCAGTTTTACCAGGACAGGAAATGTACCCGTTGGCATGATTTAAGATAAAGCAACTTTATTCGGAGACAACAAAGAAGAGGATTGCAGATGAGTTGGGCTACTTTTTAGCTGCAACAATTGTACAAAATATATCTTCATAAAAACATCATTCATTGAAAAAATCTCCAACATAAATATAAATTTGCATCTCATCATCATCAGATACTACTAACATTTTTTAGGAGCTTAAAATTCAAATGTTTAAATTTTTAAATAAAATTTTATTTTAATTTTGAATAATACTTTCAATTTAAATTTGGATTTAATATGAATTAAGAATTTCCACGTTTTCTTCTGATGGATTTTGAAACATTTATAGTTGAAATGCTTAATTTTGTTTCTGATTAAGAGTCAGTTAGCAACATCTGAAGATAATAAACTTATTGAAAAACATTTGTGTATGTTGGTGATATTAGCTCAATTACACAGGTCAACAAAAAAAAATTTTTTTTGGTGCCTAGGATTTTAGAACTGATTTTAGCTATATTTGGGTCACTGAATCCAAATATGAAATCAGTTTTCCTTTATCGGCTCTACTTTTTTAGTATCAGGTCTGTAAAACTTGTACAGAACATTTACAACAGTGGGAAAAGAACATTTACTACTGGGAAAAGAAAAAGTCTGAAATTTGGCGTAGCCTACCGATGGTTTGGAGAGAACCCAAAAATCACTTTGATGACTGTTATTTCTGTCTAGTAAATATTAATGGAATCAATCGTAACAACTGTAGCAAGTGGACTTATCCTGATTTAGTCTCTGCAAGACGCCCGGTCCCTCACTCACAGGAAGTGCCAGTTCCATCATTTCACCAGNAGAACCACTCATAATTACAAAATTAAGCCTCGTTTAAATACTTGCCTCCCTTTCGTGATCGAGCCAGTGTTGCCAGCTAAAACATGTAAAAGTACTATTAAAGTAGCCAAGACATAGCCAAATATTTTAGCACCACATCACTAGCGGACATTTGAATTTGCTGAATAGAACGCGGTCGGTTAACCAAGGTGACGGTTAATTGGTGGTCGGATAATCGATGCTCTACTGTATAAACAAACTACTAAATATTTTTGGAATGATTTTAAGCAATGTCTAAAATCTTTAATTAGTCTCAAAATTTAGAATCAAAATTATAAAACTTAAAACACATATCATACAAATGCATCTGGCAATTGAATATCTTAGTTTTGAGACTGGTAGCATTTCAATAAATCAGGTTTTAACCAAGGACTTATTTCTTACTACTTATTAAATATATTTTTAAAAGAAAAACCACTACAAAATATAAAATAATAATTTAGTAGGAAAATTTTAATATGCAAATTTATCTTTAAAATTTTTTGCTATTTTATTAAAAATTTGTGTTTTAATGTAACATTTTGAATTAGTTCTTTGAATATTTTAAAATAAATGAATACAATAATAAACTTTCTACAAACCTATAATCAGCATGAAATATGTTCAATTGCTTAGGCTAACGTTTTCAGATCCCACTGGATCCTTCATCAGGCTATGTTCCATTTGTAACGATCCGTTAGAATGCCATAAGCAATTGAACATATTTCACGCTGGTTATAGGTTTGTAGAAAGTTTATTATTATATTCTTCTGGTGTGTGTCTATTATTTATTTGTAAATGAGTACTTTATTTTATGTAGATCTGGACGTGTCTGATTCAAAGACTACCTCTCCATGTTCTTCTACGTAAATTACCCCGATTACATCGCTTGGGCTTTTTGAAAAATAATACAGCTTTATTCAAATCATTTATGGAAAGACTTCGCAGTGAAAGTGCTCTTGCTGATGGTCATTTAGGTCCTATAGAAACATTTATAATTGCCCGTCAACATGATATAAGTGGCAAACTAGATCAAGGGAAACCGTTAACAAGATATAGAAGTTCACAGTTAGATGATGCACTTCATAATCTTCATATGGCATCTTTTAAAGTAAGAATTTTTATGCTAACTTCTTTTTTGAACTCATCACAATTTCAAATTCTGTTCTAAAATAATGCAAAAAAATAATTTAAAAAATTTTATTAATTTTTATTTGTATCTTTTGTTTAATTAATTAACTGCATCTGTTATATTTTAAATGACTGCAAGAATATCAAATATATTCTACTTATATAAGTTTCTTTGTTTTATGAGAAAGATGTGTGTTTTTTTATTCATATGAGTTCAGATAGTCATTGTATTACATTAATTCTTTCAATATACAAATTTGAATTTTTTGTTTTTTGGGCAAATTGTATTTCTAATTATAAATTCATATATTTATTTTAATTTTATTAAAATCTAATGCATTNAGGATGACCTTCGTAACACTTTTAAGGAAAATCATTAGGGGATTCAGTTAGGCTTTTTGGGCAATGGGCAAACACAGTCTTGGTAACTGTCTCACTAGTTCAGAGGGAGGAAGGCAGTGGGAAGTCCCATAGAGCTCAGAGAGCAACTCGCAGGATCACTCACTAGTTCAGAGGGAGGAAGGCAGTGGGAAGTCCCATAGAGCTCAGA